GTCTAGCACAATGTTTTCAACCTTTTTTCATTTGAGGACCCCTACAAAATTTTGAATGGAGATCTCTCCTTTGGAAAATCTTAGACATAATCTGTGGACGTCCAGGGGCCCACGGACCAGAGGTTGAAAACCACTGTTCTACGGTAATGACAACGTTTCGTGGACCCCTTAGACATAGTTTTCAGATCCCCAGGTTGAAAACAGGTCTAGCAGATAGAGAACTGGACTGGGAGTCAAGAGCCCTAGCCTTTATTCCCAGCTCTGCCACTGACTTGCGGTGTCCCCTCACTCTGCCTCAGTTTCCCCTCTGTAAAATGGGGATAAGGATGCTTATAAAACACTCTGAGACCAATGAAATGAAAGACTCTGTATTATTGCTAATTGATCACTTTGCTGAGCCTGCCCAAAATGGAATTAATGCTAATTAGTGCCGTTTGTGATGTGGACATCTACCAACTAGGATTGGGATTGCAATTCACCAACTCATCTCCCAGAGGAGCCACTGAATAGCTACCAAATGCCTTTGAGTCACTATTGGCTGCATTAATTTCAACAGGCTAGATCTGAAAAGCTCAGTGTCTCGTGGCCATCCTCTGCACTCCAACATTCACCTGTTGCCCCAAAATTCCCTCTCTGTCCTCATTTAGCTCACATTTTTTCTTGGTACCAGAGAGTTGGAAGCCAAACTGAATATGTTATGGTGAAAGGAGTTTCCAGGGATTGAGATGGCTCAAAAGGAATCTGTATGGTATGTAAATCAAGATCTGAACTAGCAAAGTAACAGCACAGAGTGTGCAACTTCCATTTGTGTTAGTTGTGTTTGCACTATACTCTCCTGCTGCAGGCTGGGAGAGAGAGGCTTTGGGTTAGTCTGATTTTGGAATCAGAATGGGCAGCTGGAAATAGCAGAACGCTTCTAACAAGCTGCGATTTTTTAATCTGTCTACCTAGCTACTTCTGTGGCCCTTCGCACCCTAATCATCTCACAACATTAAGGATTTAATTCTCACAATCTGAAGTAAGGAGGATTATTATCCCTGTTTGGTATTTGGGGAAACCGAGGAACAGAAAGATCAAGTAACTTCCCTAAGCTGACTCAGGGCGTCTGTGGCAGGGCCAGGAATTGAATCCAGGTTTCCCAAATTCCAGTCCAATGTCTCCACCCCAAGACCATTCTTCCCTACCAAAATGGTGTTAGGAGTGAGATCGATTTCTCCAGAGCAATAGTGGCAATGTACTACAACCATCCTTACTGCTTTGGTGCACTGGACATCCTTCCCCAGGAGCCAGTTGAGCTCCAAGTTGCCTTCCCCCTGGTAACAGGATTGCAGGCGCTCCTTGATCTGGCTGTTGATGGTGCGGATGGGGAAAACGCAAAGAGCCGAGTCATCAGGAGGCTGGTGATACTGCTTCTGCCCCTTGGAGAAGATGGCAAAAAGGATGTCATCCTGGGCTGTGATGTTGAGGGCATTGGCCAGCACGTCCCCTGGCTTGGAGAGATAAGCCGCTTGCAGGAGGCGGTACTCCACATCCCCCTTGATGCAGCCAAAGGGCAGCGAGACGTAGGAGTGAAACTTGGGGTCATTCTTACAGAGGCGGACGATGCGGGACGTGTAGAAAAGGTCATTGGCCGAGTTGATGGAGACTCCCTCGGGGGTCTCCGGTTGCACCGTCAGGAAGTAGACGAAATTGCTGCTGGCGAACCCGTAGATATAGAAGATGTCGAAGTGTGAGACCAGGGCCAGCGTGTCCGAGGGGATCTTGATGAGCGATGAGACAAAGTCGCTGTGGAGCTCGTAATCCAACATGGCTGATGACTCCGGGTCCCGCGGCAGCTTGCGGCTAGAGAGGGTGGGGAAGTAATCCTGCTTGCCATCCACTGCAGTGCCGATGAAGAGCTTGCCGTCCTCGCCGTCGGAGCGCACGATCACCCCATACATGGTGCCTGTCTTGTTGACACTAGAGAGGTAGTGCTCCTTCTTGTGGGACGGCTCCACCAGGATAAAGAGGTCGTCCAGCCGCAGCAGCTTGCAGACGCCCTGGTAGAGGCTCCCGCAGGCCAGCAGCCGGTTCTCTGAGTAGTCAATGATCAACAGCTTGTTAACGTTGTTGGTGAGGGTGAGGATCTCACTGCAAGGCTGGACAATGAGGGGCGGGTAGCAGGACTTGTTGTCCTCCTCCGGGCCTGTCTTGTGAGCCACCAGGATGGTCAAGTTACCTGAGAGCTTGTAAACCCGGTTGATGGCTCCAATGTAGACTGCCCCGGTGCCCTGATGGACGGTCAGGTGGTTGAAAGTCCAGTCGCGGTTCTCTGAGTGGAAGGTGTTGAACAGGGCAGTACTGGCTGCGTTCCGGGAAAGTGAGACCAAAAAGAGAAAAACCACAGCTGCTGACCAGCCATCGGAGTCCAGCATCCGAGGCCAGTTCTTCCTCTGATCCATCCTGGGGCAGGGGAGAAGAGAAAGGGGAGGGTGAACTTCCAAGCTCCCTGTATGTGTCCCTTGCCCTGGCGAGGTTCTTCACATGGTTCTGGAGAGGGGAAAAAAATACACACAAAGCAAAGGATTAAATCCAGAGAGTGCCCTGTAGACACAATTCAAGAGAGACTTTTTAGTTATACAGTCCTTGAAATAAAGCAAGGACATCTCTAAGCCCAGCCAGCATTAAGCAGGGTTCCTAACTTATTGGAAAACCGGTCAGGCTCCATGTTTTGCCACTCGATTTTGCCGCTGTGCATTAATTTGTTACGTGGTTTAACTGTTTATAATGGGCACGGTGCCTGCGTTCACGGAGTGCAGGAGGAGATAATCAACCTCAGCCCTGGGACAAAGATTCCACAGTTCATGCACCCAACCATCAATCTAAATCTTGGCTGAAGGCACTTTTCCTACCGGGTATATGACTGTAGGCGAGGGGTAAGTAAGAAGTGTTTTTTGCCTATAAATCCTGTCTAATTGTAATTAATGATGAAGGTTAAAGTTTCATGCAGACAAGTACAACTTGCATTTATACAACAACGCTTTCCGTGCTTATAACGGTGCCTCCTCTCTGCCTCTCACCACTGCAGAGGTCTATGTACACTGCTGCCTTTGAGCCTGAAGGATCCCAAAGCAGCCTTTCCAAGGATTACTTCACCCACCACTGAAACGCAGCCACCTGCTTCTGGGCTGGAGGGGTATGGTAGCTGGGTGAATAAATATTGACATAGGAGATTTGCACAAACTCCCTACACTTGTGAAATTAATCCTGGGATCTTTAAAGCCTATGCAGAGGAGACAGGACTTTGGGGTGCAAGGTCTTGTCCAAAACATCCACTAGATAGTAAACTGCTTGTGTACTCTGGGTGAAGGTCATAAATACAGAATCCCATGGAACGACAAAGGTCTTCTTTCATCTATATGGACACGTAGCTGAAGGCCTGCCTCCAATCAAAGAGCTCTGGCCAAAATCTGTTTGGGTGAGACATGAAAGAAAGCAAGGGACCTTACATGGAAGATGTGTATTTGGAGAAAGCAGTTGATAGTCCCTAAAATTTCCCTTCCCGTTATCAATACCATTAAAAGTGTTGCAGTCATCAGCTCAGTGCAAAAAATCCCCATGGCCTCAGGGAAAAGAGCTGGCTGGAAAGAGTATTCACATGGGAGTGGGATCAAGGGAAGAGGCAGGTGACAGGAGAGCCCTTCATGTCCAGGGCACTTTCTGGGAAGCAGCAACAAAACGTGGAGGCTTCCACGTTTGATTTTCTGTTTCTTTATAAAATGCAGGTGGCAAGAGGTGATGCAAGAATCCTTCCCATTCCCAATGCAGTTACTCTACCTTGTGATTCATGGGCAAAATCCAGGCGACAAGCCAGAGGAGCCAGATCACAGCAAGATCCCATGTATTTGGATGGCCACCTGCAGCTATCCAAGAACCTGGTCCTGCAGAGCTACTAGCCGTGCATGTAGAACATCAGACTTTGAGTTGCTGAGGTTACTTGAAAGTCCACAAAAGCACCCATGCTCCAAGATCAGCCCTGCCCTAAAGCATGTACTTGAGAAACTCCAGTCTGAACAGGACCTGTGATCAACGGGACCTGTGAAACCAAGTCAGTGAGGCAGAGGAAGCAGAGTCTGGGAAGGAGGTGACACTTTGCAAGGTGGTATCTGTCCACCTACCCTGAAGCTGCCTCATCACCGCAGTATTTAGGCAGAGGCATTGGTGTTTCGCCCTGCCCCCCTGGCTGAGGGGTAAACTGTAGGAGGAGGAGTGGGAGGAAGGGAGGGAGACTCCAGAGGGATGGGGAAAGATGAATTCTGGACTCCACCCTGGGGCAACTAGATGGGGAAGTTCTAAAGCAGAAAGGAACTACAGAGAGGACACCATGATCTCCATCGTCCCTCCAAAACCAGCCAACCAAAGCTGTTAGGAAGTGAGAGCTCCCCAAACCACCTGTATCTGAGCAAGGAAAGAGCAGGGAGAACCCTTCCTTGCATCAGTGGGATTGGTCACCGTCTGCACAGAGGAAGGAGCACATGCCTCTTTGCCAAAGCTAGCTACCGCTGCTGGGATAGGCAGGGGCTATGAGCACAGAACCTGGGCTGGCACAAGCAAATATCCACTTGCTGCTAAAAGGGGCATGACAATTTAGGATCTCAGCCAGTCTCCTCCCCCATCGCTCCTGCTTTCTAGAGATGGCATGAGCTGCCTCTTCTCATCCTTCTGAATTTGGCCCACTCCCCTTCCTTCCACCCTGAGTGTCACTCAAAATGGGAAACTGAAAAAAAATCTGCCTTTCTCCAGCCCACTTGTGCACCTCTTGTTTAAGTTTCACAACCCATTGTGAAGAAAACTTTTGCAATCCCCATTTTACCAGCAGGGAACCTAAAGCACAGAAAAGTTAAGGGACTTGACCAAGGCCACACAGTCGGACTGTGGCAGAGCCAGGAACAGAACCTAGCAATCCTGGCTCCCAGCCCCTCTCTGTACCTAGATGATCATACTAGATGAGAGCCTGGAATTCTCCCAGCAGCAAAGTGCTCAGCGGCACTGAGTTTTCTCCTCCTTCTCCCCTTGAACTCCCCTAGGGCTGAGACTCAACCTGATTGAGGTCAGTCTCGGCTCTTTAGTGTCAGCAGGGCAGTGCCTGATTCGCTGTGACAGACAGGAGCTGAGAGGAACCATGCAACTCCCCCCACACCGACTTTCCTCCCTTTGTCTCCTTTTGATCTGAATGCTGGTCATCAGTTGCTCAGCACCTGCCTGAAAAAGCACAGGTTGGGAGAGAGTGTTCACGACTTCCACTTATCCTCTGCTTTCAAAAGCTCTCCTTGGCCGTGGACAAGGGAAAGAGGTTTCTACTCTGCAGCTACTGCTGTCATTCGAGTAGCTGTGAGAAGGGAGCAGTGGTGGGGTTGCTGCTGCTGGAACAGGGTGTGTTTGGCTGCATGAATAACTGAAGAGTGAATCAACAGTAGCATGCCACATGGCATGCCCTAGTGACACTCTAGCCTCACCAGATTCAGGATGTGGACTGGATTCAGATGAGCCCCCCTGGAAATTCAGATGCTTCTCTGAAGTTTATCTTAATTTTCCAAACCACTTGAGTCTGCTAAGCAGGGCAGTTCATGCAAGGCTTCCAGGATTCTTGGTCATGCCCAAAGTACTATGGCAACAGCCTGTCTTGGCACCTCAGCACTTCTGGCTCATTAGTTTTAATTACTTGTATTATGATAGAGCCTAGAAACTCTAGTCAAGGCTCTATACCCAACCGGTGAAGGCACTGGACAGACGTAAGAAAGGGTACGTTTGCACTGCAACCGGAAGTGCACTTACAGCTTGTGTAGATGTACCCGAGTTAGCATGGGTATCAACTGCAGCGAAGCCCAGCCTGTCCAAAACTCCACCGAACCCTAGGTTCTTGGACAGCTAGCCTGTGCCAAAGTCCATGGTGCTGTCGCTTCACTGCTACTGATGCTGGAGCTAGCCAGAGCAAAACTAACGTGGTGATGTCCACATGTGCAGCAGACAGAGCCACCGACAACTCTGCCCAGAGAGTTTACAGTTTGAGTGTCCGACAGGAAGCAACAGACAAATGGGGGTGCGGATTGGGAGACTGATGCAGCAGTAGAGTGAGTACAGCTGTACAGAAAAGCAGAAGCCCTCCAACCAGTACCAGACAGGAGTGATCCCAGCAGAGGTAGTTTCTAAGGAGGGACTGAGAAGGGGATAAGGTGTCAGACGCTAACCGCTAGGGCATTACAGCACGAAGGGGCAACTCGAGAGCCCTCGCTCCTTCCCTTTGTGCAGTGGTGCGGCTGCAGTGAGATGATGGGGGTAACATTGCCCAAAATAACTAGAAGTCCCATTTTCAAGCGTCAAGGGGTATGTCTGCCTTTTGAGTTGGGCGGGGTGAGTTGATTCCCAGCTCCCAGAGACATACCCATGCTAGCTCTGATCAAGCTAGTGTGCTAAACACAGAGCATAGCTGTGGTGGCAAGAGAAGAGGCTAGCTGCCCCAAATATGTGCCTCGGGCCTAGGATGGGTACATCTATGGGGCAGCTAGCCCCTCCCACTGATCATCCTGCCAGGTCTACATTCTATTTTTAGCACTTCAGCTTGATCAAAGCTAGTGCAAGTATGTCTCCTTGAACTGGGAATCACTCCCTCCCCGCCACCCCCCAGCTCCTAGTGTAGATATGCCCAGAGGCGCTTGGGAACCTCAGGGTATGTCTACCTGCAAAAACAAAAAACCCACCCCCCTGTGGCAGCGAATCTCAGAGCCAGGGTCAAAGGAGCCGGGCTTGCAGGGCTGTTGCTACAGGGCTAAAAATAGTAGTGTAGACGTCGCTCCAGTTCTGAAACCCAGCAAGGGGGGGGAGGGGTGTCCTCAGACCCTGGGCTCACGCCCGACCAGGAACATCTACACTGCTATTTTTAGCACTATAGCGTGAGCCTGAGTCAGTTGACTCCCGGTCAGACTCGCTGCCGAAGGAGGTTTGTTTTTGCAGCGTAGACGTACCCTGAGTGTCACAGACAGTGAGTGAGGAGGGCTCCGAAGTGCCCATCTGTCACCCCAGCAGAAGGAACGGAGGCTGGCGGTACAGACCATGTGCGCTTGCCTCCCAAAAAGGGAGAAATGCTGCAGCCTAATCTCCCCTCGCCCTCATTTAGGCTGTTGAAGGGCAGCCCTAACTCCTCATCCGTCTCCCACTCCTTCAGCAGCAGCCAACTTCTGAGGAGAATAAATGCAACCTTGAGCTGCAGAGATCATGCCACACCTCATCAACACTCCCTCCCTCCAGACACTTGACAACAAGACCATTTCAAAGCTGATGGGGTCTAGTTTGGGCCTGGGGGACAACAGTGGGGTGGGGCTGGAGCCATTCTGACATCCCTTCCCCCACTTCCCTAACACATACACTCAGTCAGCTGTCAAGCGGAATTAGGAACCGTAAGGCTGGGATTTCCTTAGGAAACAGGCGGCTTGCCTTGGGAAAGCGCTGTCTGCGTGATGCAGGCTTACATCGGAGAGCGTTTCATCCACCCT